GCTTGATGGTTCAGCGGCACTCTAAAGATGGAAAACATGAAGCTACTACTGAAGCTACTAAAGCTTCTGCCATAATGCATGTTTTCTTTCCTGAAGTACACAGGCAGATTCTAATCGGATTCCTGCACAGATTCCTTGGATACATGGATCTATTTCAGTGTGAAATTTGTTGCCTATGTGTGCGTGAGATTTAACCCATAATAAAGAGGAAAGGGTTGTGAGGAATCATGTGGATTGTGTTTTATTTTTGGAAAGTGTGTTCCACATCCTTACCTCCTATACAATCAGTTTTTTGAATCTGAGGGACTAAAAAAACAAAACAAAAACAACTGCTCAAACATTGTTGTCCTCTGAACATCTTGTCACACAGGGCCACCATGGGCCCTTAGTAAACACACGCTTGAGAACAATTGGGTATATCCCTTACAATGTGGTGAAAAGCATGCTAAGCAAGATTTCAATTATGTAGTCACAAAAACAGAAAGATGAAAACAATAAAGAAAATAACACGTGGAAGAAAAATGAGGAAGGAAATTAGAATACAATCAGACAAGCAAGTTTAAGCTCAATATTAAGCCTGCTGATCTATTCATGTTTGCGCAAGGCTACACATTCGTGCAGCGCATGGTGAGAGAATTCCTGCAAACGTTCGCGATGACTAGGCGCGATAAAGTTTATCAGCTGCAGTGAGATCAGTAGGGGACCACCAGGAAAGATTGCTGCCGCATGTTCAGACACAGAGCCCTCATCCGGGGACGGAAACGGAAGAAATGGGACTAACAGGGCACGCAATGATGCTGAGGTGTCCTCCTCAAACTGCAGAAAAACACAAGTGGAGCTCAACTTAAAAAACATGTTTTGAAAGAGCATGTGTTTGTGGCAAAGCAAGTTTATCAGCGTTAGTTCATCATTACTATTACAGCAGTGGGGGAAGCAGCTGCTTTACTTTATTGAAAGGAGTAATGCTACACCATAAAAAATCTTTAGTAAAACTCCTGCATTTAAATAGCTCGACAGTTGAAAAGCCTGCATCTGTGATGGCGTGAGATTGCATTCGTAAGCATGTTGTGGGTAACTTCCCCATCTGTGAAGGCCTCATTAATGCAGAATAATCTACACAGGTTTTGGAGCAACATATGCCGCCATGCTGATTGCATCTTTTTTTTCCGGGGAAGCTTTGTTTATTTCAAGACACAATGCCAAAACCACACTTTGCGTGCATTCTGACAACATGGCTCAAATGTAAAAGTTCATGTCCTATCAAATTCTCAAAACATTCACCACATTCTGAGATGAAAAACAAAGAACACACTGAACTGTTGTAATCCTACGTCAAGAAGCATATGTGGCTTACAAATGCACTGATGTCCTCGCTGTCTGAAAGCTGACATAGTGTTGATAAAAGAAGCAGTGATGTAACACAGAACTATATGTAGCCCAGTTTATTAAACCATGTTGCTGGCATCATCTCAGTAAATCAGCATTTTCTGAAATACTCAGTCTGGCAACGACAATCGTGCGATGTTCACTTCAAAGTCACTTAAATCATCTTTTTTTCTACATTCTGCTGCTCAGGCTGATCTTCAGCAAATCATCTTGACTGAGACTACATTCCTGAAAGCACTGAGCTGCTACCATGTGACTGGCTGATAAGATATTTGAACAGTTGAACATGCGTTCTAGATAAAGTGGCTGGTCATTGTATAGCGGGGGAAATAAATGCAATGCTTAATTTGCAATCTCAAACTGCATTTTGAGAGAAAAAAAGGTTTATTTATAGTCACACGTATCCGGGTTATTAAAGTGATGGATATGTGAGAATGTAATGAATAGTAATACAATTTTACTATGTAAGTAAAGGTAAAATATTGTATTTATTTTTCCATCACATTTACAGATGGACAAAAGTTAAAGCACAATCACCACATATGGCCTTTAGACATCACAGGAAAATCCAGGTCCTGTAGTCCACTACATTTTATACGTGTAGTAGGATATGTGCACTGTAGGTTCTGTATGTACAGTTTGTGATATAAAACTGTAGAATTCTAGATTAATAGATTCATTTCTAATCTGAAGTCCAATAGAAAATCAATTCTCAGATGAAACTCAGCAAACAACCAGGAAAACTACAGAAAAAGCACCAAAACTAGAAGCAAAACTATAACAATACTCTGACTAGTACTTTTACACTGTCTGTGTTTAGTCAACATGGAGATAAGCACCAACTCAACAGGCGAGGTAAGATTTTCTGAATATCAGAGACTGTTTTCTTAAAGTGTTTAGGACAGTCCAGTATTCTTTGATTGGTTCATCTTATCTCTGTACAAATGCAATTGTGTGATTGGATCAAAAAAGAAAGTTTCCAGGGAGGGTCAGGATGAAAGAAGGGTGGGATGAGTTTTAATGACCCATACTGGTAGCCTCATGCTGAGCCTGATGGCCATTAGATCTACCTACACTCTAACAAAGGGGTGGGGAACTCCAGGTCTCAAGGACCGGTATCCTGTAGGTTTTATTTGTCCTTGATCCAACACACCTGATTTAAATGGCTAAATTACCTCCTCAACATATCTTGAAGTTCTCCACGGGCCTGGTAATAAACTAATCCTTTGATTCAGGTGTGCTGACCTTGGATGAGATCCAAAACCTGCAGGACACTGGCCCTTGAGGCCTGGAGTTCTCGAACCGCTGATCTAACAGTTTGCATGAGTTTGTGAATAGTATACAGTTCTTGTTGAGAATAATTCACCTTAATGTTAAGTGACTGTCTTTAGTGAATCAAAACATGTTTATTTTGCATGTGTTGCATGTGTATTTCTTTGTCTTTTAGTCACTTGAACAAGTGCAGCCTGATTTTGCATCCCAGCATGATGGACATGCTCCCCAACAGCATGCTGCAAACCCTGCACCAAGCCCTTCTGGATAGTCAGGAGCTGGATGCAGAAAATGCTGCTCTGAGGCAGCAGCTCACCCAGTGTAAGGAAGAAAGACAGATGCTGGTTGAGAACCAGAAAGAAATCAAATTTTATGAAGAGGAGAGGAAGAGAACAAAGAAAGAAATGGAGATTAACCTCAGGTCCCAGAAGCAAACACTGCACCACCAGCAAACCATCTTGATTATTTGTATTTTACCACAGATGAACATTTTCATACAGCAAATGTTTTGTACTTCATCAAAGTTAAACTACAAGCCCCGAAGTAGTTCGACTTATGAACGTGTATGACCTTTTTGATTTGATACAGATTTTTCCTGCCAGATATTGGCTGGAATAAATCCTGAACAAGAACACCCAGAGAGCACACCCAGGAGCCAAATTTAGCGAGCATTTGTGGCTTGTATAAGCTGAGATTTTAAGATATGTTCACACAATGTGTAATTTTGTTATGGTGTCAATGTGATGTTATAGGTTGTCATATTGAAAAAGGTCTATAGGTCTAGTATATTGTTGTAATGTTTGAGGATGCTCCATAAAAAAAAACTTGTGGTGGTAATATAAAGTCTTTGCTAATTTTCATATTTGGTGTGATCTTCAAACCAAATCTGAAAATGATATATTGAAAACCTTAAATGCCAGACCACCTCCTCCACACACACACACACACACACACACACACACACACACACACACACACACACACACACACACACACCGTTTTCTCCAGATTCAGCTTCAGCTCACAGGCTGCTGCCTTGATTATTTCCTGTTACATTTTAGGATTAAAGCTTAAAGTCATCTTTTCCCCTTTACTGCTTTCAAGGTGATTTCCAGGTGACCAAGAAATAAGGTACCAAACCATGATGCCCCCTCCACCATAGTTCACACTGAGGATTTGTTGGCTTTCTTTCCTCAAAATACAGCTCTTATTTTATTTTTTCTGTTAACTTTTTTTTATTTGTATTTATCTATTTTCCATGTTGTTTGTATGTGCTCTTGAATTTTGAAAATTTGTTCAGTTTGTGTTTGATCTTGAGGCAAATGAGGCATGATTCACAAATATCAGTCTTTCTTAAACAGCAGACTATTAGTAAAGTGATGCTAAGAACATCTGATCCTAGGGGGAGTTTTTGAGAAGTCTGCATCATGAACAATTAATCTGCCACTCCCTTTAGGATCATCACAGTGAATCATCTATCTCCATCTCACCATGTTTTTTGTATCCCTTCAGTTACACCAACCTCTCTGCATGTCCTGCTTCACTACATCCAGGAATCTTCTCGCCGTTTTTTCTCTTTTTCTTCTATTTGACAGCTCCATATTTAACACCCATTGTACAGTATATCCAATGTCCCTCCTTCGCACAAACATTTTCTGCCCTGCGTCTCTCACTCTGTCTCTTAACCGCTCATCCCTAGCTGTCCCTCTGATGTAGGGTAGACCAGGGTTGGTTGTCACACTTTTTACTCCTGCATGAATTGTTGATCACTGAAACATTTTAACATGACAGTATATGGTATGGGACTGATTGTCCCTATAGTTATTAATGGGGTTTCAAGCCTTTTGTAAACCTTCCCTTTCCTTTGGATGAGGTTTTTACACTCATCCACCTTCACCACCTCTGCTCCTTGCAGGTTCACTCTTACACCTGTCTCCCTCTCGTTCAAGATATTAAATACAAATAGAATAACTTTATAACTAATAGCTTCTGTTATTAGTTAATTCGGGTTGTGTTTGTCTTTTTGTGATTATGTGTCTGTCAAAATTAGACCTTAGTTTAAGCCATTAATACCTTATTTCAACTCTACGTGAATGAAAATGGTAAAACAAGATGGGCAACGCCCCCAGTTGGCCATATTAATATCACATGTTTCAATATTTATGACCTGAAACAAACTGTGACCTTCTAAGATTAAAGCGCAATCTACTACTTTAGTCTTAGAGAAAATGAACAAATAATTAATTGTGTCTGCATTAATATATATATAAGAATATAATAATATTTTATTTTTAGTATTGAAATTTGAGCAGCTTTGATGCGTATATAGAAGGTACCGGAAGTGCACCCTACAACTTCCGGTGAAATACAAATCATGCAGCGCCGCATTTGTCATTCACTTTAGCGTGGTATGAATTTCTTAAATTCCCTGTGCTTTGTGTTTGTTTTGTGGTTGTAGTAATGTTTGGGTCAAATGTTGTTACTTTTAACAATGAGAAGGGGCGCATAAAGTGTAACCAAGCCTCTAAATTAGAACTGTTTTAACTTGTAAGCTAGCTAACTTTAGCTAGCCCTTCCTGTTAGTATGCCGGGCTAACTAAACTATGCTATGGTACCCGTAGTCGCGAGCCAAGTACAGCTATTACTGTCACGCGGTTTTATTCCTTGCCGAGCCAGAGAACAGTTATTTCTTTATGCTTTCCCTCAGCCTGATCAGTGGGATAAAACCATGTTCACTCCGCCGAAGGAGGGGATGCCCAGCATGATAGACAGGGCGCTGAGGATGAGGAGGGAGGAGCAGGCTCGTCAGGTGGTCCTTGCCTGGGCTGTTCTAAACGTATCTCTTGCTGGCATGATTTACACTGAAATGTAAGTTACATACCTCAATGTTAAATAATGCTGTGTGCTTGGCGGTGTGGTTATGTACCCGTCTGGTTTTACTTTTTACTTTTCTATCAGGTCAGGCAAGCTGCTGAGCCGATACTACAACATTACCTACTGGCCTATCTGGTACATCGGTGAGGCTCCTCTACACTACTGCACAAACAGCAACGCAGACCTAATATACCGTATTAGGCTACGTATCAGAATTGTGTTTTGTTTCTCTGTTCAGAATAAGTCCTATTTATTCTCAGCTGTGCTTAAAGTAACATTTACAGTGTACAAAAGTCTTAAATCATGCTTCACTTCTTCATGTTTTGCTTCCAAGCAAACAGACTTTCTTGTAGGGTTATAATGTGTTCTTCTTATAGTTGTCCTGACTTTCTGAAATTCTTTCAGAGTTTTTCTTTGGACATTGGCTGCTTTTACAACAACTTTAAATTGTAACTTGAGAGACTTGTTTTTCATGCTGTATTTCCATTCGTTTGCACATGAGAGGAATTTTGCACGATACCATATATAATGCTAAAAAAGACTCATGCCAGGAATACAGGGAAATGGCTTTTAATTTGCCACCTGCATGTTCATGCTCTGCTACAGTCTTTTATTTAGTTTTTTTCTTCTTTTACAGAACTGGTGCTTGCCTCCCTTTTTAGCCTCAATGCTCTTTTTGACTTCTGGAAGTATTTCAAATACACAATGGCTCCGTCCACAATTGCTGTAAGCCCTGAGCAGCATCACCTTCTGGGTCTGAGAAACACAAGTGAGGCGCAAATTTATGGTTTATATTTTTCCACACCTTTTATCCAGTTCTTGCTATGTTCAAGATCCTTTGTGGCAAGTAAAGTAGCAGAAAGGAAGCCCCATCCGATCTTTAGATGAACATATGAGCCAGAGTTGAGGTTTTTTGTTTTGCAGGTATTCAGGCATCTCCGCCCCAAAAGCCAGAAAAGAAGGAAGCTCCGGCTCCAGCCCAGTCATCTCCTTTGCAGGGCCAGAGCGTGCTCAGCTTTAGTCCCTCTCGTACAGCTTCCAGCAGCCCCAAGTTCTCCCCCAGCTGTGTTCCTGGATATAGCCCCACACTCAGCAGCCCATCCCCAACAAACAGTGCAGGAGGCCCCTTTTC